ATTGTTTGTTGCCTTTAGTTTTTGAAAAATTTAATGTTTAGGAAGTATGTAGTATGGCAGAGGGTTGGAAAAAAAACACTAGAATTCTTTTCCCATCTGTCTTCTTACGAGGACAATATCCCATGGTAGGGTTCCACCCTTATGAGCTCATCTAACCCTAGACAGCCTCCAGAGGCTCATTTCTGAAGACGTCACATTGGTGATGAACAAATGGGTGGGGGAGGGGCATAATTCAGTCCATTGTAAAGGGAAACTCTTGGGGTCAGAAGGCAGACACAAGGAGCTGGCAAGCCAACGGGAAATGAAGCCCAGAGCAAGGACTAGTGGAGAGAGCTAGGAGTGAAGGGCTGATGTTATGAGAATAGCTTATGGGAAAAGAAAATAATCTCCTTGGGAAAGAAAAGACCTTGTGTTGAATTTGCTTAGACATCTTTTTTTTTTGTTTTTCTTTTCAGATCCAAAGTGAGTTTTACTGGTGTATTTTTTTTTCATTTTCCCTCCATCGTTATATTATCTCCCCAAGTCAAATAAACATTTTTAAAAAGTCACTTATGGGTAGGTGAGAAAGCACATACTACAAAACAGTGCATATTGCATGATCTGATTTGTTTAAAATATTCATAAATACAAATTTTTAGAAAGCCACACAAACAGAAAATTAAAGGCTTATGCCTAAGAGATAGGGTCTAGGATGCTTTAGATGGGGTTCAGTTGGGAAAAGAAACTGCATGGAGTGGTTCAAATAGAAAGCATTGACTTTAGGTAGTGCTGCGCCTGCACAACTGTTGGAAGGCTGGAGAAGAGAAAGATGGATGGAGGCCACCAGAGTTGTCATATTTGTCATCACAGCTGTGGATCCCTCAGAAATCAGGAAACCGATGCTGTCTTCACACCTCCCAACTGCTCCTAGGTCTGGCCACAGTGCAGGACCTTACACCAACCTTGCATGGCAGCCTGCTCGGCAGTCACTAGCATGGCTGACGAAGAATAGATCTCACCTCCCTTCTACCTTCCAGACCCATGTGAGTGTATCTCATTGGCTGAACCAAAACCACATCCACAACCCAGTTGGAAAGGGGGTCTCAGGGTCCCAGATATTTTTTTGGGGGGGAGGTACCAGGGCTTGAACTTAGGGGCACTCAACCACTGAGCCACACCCTAGCCCTACTTTGTATTTTTTTAATTATTATTTTAGAAACAAGGTCTCACTGAGTTTCTTGGTGCCTCACTAAATTGCTGAGGCTGGCTTTGAACTCATGATCCTCTTACCTCCGCCTCCCCAGCTGCCGGGATTACAGGTATGTACCACTGTGCCCGGCCCCCAGACCCTTTTGATTCTGGAGAAATAGAGAGAGGGATGGGAATGATACCAAGGGCCAGAAGATATCCATCATAGTACTCAGTGACTGACCATACACACTCTCTGGACCACACTAAAATTCCCAAATGCAATCAAAATGACACCAATTTTCTCCTACTATATCTTAACTCAGGATAAATGGGCTCAGCTTTTCCTCAAAATGAGAGACTGAAAGTACCATCAGTTACTGTATCCACAGTTAGGTAATCTTGCCTCTCTAGTTCAATGAAAAACCCACCTAAATCTCATATAAGTTAACCATCAAATTTCAAGTTTCACCAGTACAATTCACCCTCTGTAAAATAACAGTGGGAACTAAGAGGAGAAAAGGAAATGCATACACATGTGAAGAAGCAAGATGTGCACAGCTTAGCCATCTTTTCTGTAACTGGATATAAAGCTATAGTTTTTAATCACTTTCTTCTACTAGGAAAACCCATTTCCTTTGTGCTTAGTCAGCAGTTTAACTTGTTAGAATTAGTTCTTTACATGGTGAGCTAATCCAAAAATTTATTCCCAAAGGGCCTAGCCCTGTGTTGGGTTGGTCTAATCTACTAGCTTTGGCCACTAGACAATTTCTAGGAGGCTTCCTAGAAAATCTCACATTTCCAATATAGATCTCACCACCCTATAATATAGTAATAACCAAATTTCTCCCTTAATAGTTTCCCCAGCCAACTTGTTGGTTCAGTGGCAGGAGATACTCCAAAGGAACAGGTGGCATTCAAGAGAACCATTATCATATTCTCTGCTGGAGACATTGCTCCCTTAGGAATGGAGGTTTGTAAACTAGCAGAGCTCAAAGGTCCAAGAATGCGCAGCAATAACTTTTCCAAAGTGGATTTTTAGCTATATGAATGAGAAGAGCTACTTCTTTTTTTTTTTTTTTAGTTTTTTTTGTGTGTGTGTTTACTTTTTTTAAAATTGATTTTATTTTTTTAAATATACGATAGAATGTACTACAATTCTTATTACACATGTAGAGCACAATTTTTCATATCTTTGTATAAATTATGTTCACACCAATTCATGTCTTTATACATGTACTTGTTTGGGGTTTTTTTTTTTTGCATTACAATTCTTCATATCTCTGTATGTAAAGTAAGTTGACGCCCAATTCATGTCTTCACACATGTACTTTGGATAATGATGTCCATCATATTCCACCATCCTTGCTAATCCCCTGCCTCCTCCCTTTCCCTCCCTTCCCTCTTCCCTATTTAGAATTCATCTATTTGTCCCATGTTCCCCCTCCCTACCCCATTATGAGTCAGCCTCCTTATATTAGAGAAAACATTTGGCATTTGTTTTTTTAGGATTGGCTGAGAAGAGCTACTTCTATTTCCCCTCTTGGTCCTTGGATACAAAAAGACAAGACCATAAACTATTGCTAGTTAGGAGCACTTATCACAACTCCAGAGCGTTGAAAAAGGTTCTATTTCAGATGGTGCTGTAACTAGGTCCTCTATGGGATAGATTCAGGCCGTAATATCATTTGGTCCCTGACTTTTGACTTTGGATTGAACTTTGTACCCCCAAATACATACGTTGAAGACCTAGTCCCAACATGATGGTATCTGAAGATGAGGCCATGAAGTTGAAATCCCATTTTCCCTCCTTTGCCATGTTAGGATAAAACCAGAAGGAGGCAATCCTCACATCAGAAAGAGCCCTGAGTGGGTAATCAAATTAACTCACAACTTGAACTTGGACTTTTCAGCCTCTAGAACTGTAAGAAATGTGAGTTCTGTGGTATAAGCCACCCAGTCGAAGGAATTTGGTCACAGTAACCTGAGCAGACCAATTTGCCTTCATAAATCAAGACCAGATTGAAGTGACAAGGAAGTCTCCACACAAGGCCCTGGGCAGTTTGGAAATGAGTTGTCTGGACATTTGGATATGTGAGGGGAATTAGCATTCACCCAATTCGCCTGGTTCCTGCTGCACTGGGGCTATCCCAGCCTATCAGGAGATGAGGACAAACCAATTCACTGGGGTGCTGAAGGCTGAGGAGATGACCAACCTCTGGAGCTTAGAGGCCAGGAAGTGCCTTCTATCACTGACCCACATTCCTGTGACTCTTACAGCCTTGCAGGGAGTCCCCTCAAGGAGAGACCAGCTCATTTACATAATGAAAACTGGCAGAATTTAATGTGATATCTGCATAGGTGCAATCTTCCTTTAAATCAGAGGCATCAATAAATATTTACGGTCAAGCAGCTCACTGTATTTTAATGGCAGCAGTTTGGCTATTATATTCAATTTTACACAACTTGAAATTGAGTTGTCCAGGTGATGTGTGATGCATTTTTTTTCACAACTCACTGAGCCCATTTGCTTTCACCTTCTCAAGTGTTTAAAAGTGCAACATGTTTTCATGGAAATTACAAATTTGCCCATGTCCTCTGTTAGGCTCCTTTAAAACTGCTGTAATCATTTCTTTGGGTTGAAAATTCTTCTCTGCTCATGTATTTCAAACCTACAATCACTCTTAAGACTAGGATACAATTTAAAAGCCCTGAAGTTCTAAATTAGAATATGAAATTTATTGTGTGGCTCCAGCTCAGTGCAAATTTTTTCCACAATTTTTGCCCAGAAAACAGATGCCCCTCAGTACCCTCATTAAGAAGCCCCGTCATTACTGGGACTCTCCAAGTTGGAACGAAATGCCCCCAAAGTTTCTCCTGAACCAGGACTTCTAGAGGGAGAATGTAGAGCAGCCGCCTCTAAGATTTTCATCATGGTTTGTATGAGCATTCAGTGAACACAGCACCCTTCTCCAGAAAAGTAGCTGCTTTCCTTAGGGCTGTTCCCTGAGCACCTCCAGGAAGATAAAGAGTTCTCATCCTTGGCTCAGTTAAGTCATTCAGCAAGTCCCCTGAATAAAAGAGCAAACATAACCAACTAAAGCACTGTGTATTGGAGACTTAGAAGGCAATGGGTGGATAAGATATGAATCACTTTTTGGAAAGAAAATTAAAAGCAGAGATATTCTGGGTTCTGACTTCACCTCTACTCTCTGCTAAGTATAATTGCAAAGCAGTGTTTTTTTTTGTTGTTGTTGTTGTTTTTGTTTTTTTTTAAGGCCCAGTTTTATAAGCAGTTAAAATGATGGATAAAGGAGTCTGATAAGAGGATAAGTCAATGCTGATTAACAACCTGGGATAAGCTCAAAATATTAATAGATTATCTGGAAGCCTATATAATGCTTAGATATAAGCCATGATTGTGGCTTCATGAATCTCTAAAAATCTCTGGGGGAAGCACATAGTGTACACATCTGGAGACTAAAAGACCTGGAGAGGTTGTGGGGACACCAGCGTGTCTCTAAGAGCAGGCTTAGGACTCATATAAAGCATTTCACTGACTTTCCGACTCTGCACCCTTATCAATAAACTGAGGCTCACATCACCCACCCAGTCTACCTTCCAGGATTACTTGGAGGATAAGAATCAGAAAAGAATAATGGAGAGAAAAGCTCTTGGTTAACAAAACAAAGAGAAGGTGTTTTATAAACTGGGAAAGTCTTAGTTACAAAGAAAGCATCATTAACTGTAATTCACAGGGGTTCCTTCAGCTCCCACACCCAAGTAACAGCACAGAGGGGGTGCAGAGAAAGCAAAGCTTGGAGCCCCAGTACCTGATGGTGGTGCCTTGCAAGCGGTCTATCTTCTTATTGAGCTCAGCAATGATGCTGTGGAGTTCCGTGATGCGTTCCTCATACCGAAGCGTCGTTCGCTCCTGGACATCCTCATGCTCTCTCATGAGGTGCGACTGCTCACACTAGGACCAAGAACAGGAGAGAAGTGTCGATGAGATGACACACCTTTTGGAGAATGAGTCCATATTCTGTGGCCTCCAACCACCAGAGCTTCAACATTGAGTGTGCTCCAAATAAAACACACGCCTGCTCACTGGCCAGCAACCCAGGAGATGTATCAACAGCTAATTTTTACAATGCCCCAAAAGGACACCTGAAGCTTTGTCTTTCTAGCACTCTTTGGAAAACAGTCTCTCAGCAAGTGGCCCAAGCTGGATTCCTCAGATATCTTCTCTGGGAATTTGAATCTTGAGCAAATGGACCTCAGATTGCAAAGAATGGATTTATCAACAGCCTGTAAAGACTGTCTGTGAGTTCACACATATTACTTTATTCCTGTTCAGTTTCACTTTTACCAACTCAACCCTTTTTTGCTGAAGTTGGTCAGGATATATTTTAGCTAAATTTCAACCAAATAACCCTAAGTGGTATGACACAGTGTCTTATCTGGCTGGATTACCTGTGACTTTCATGCTTTCCAATATCCTTTCCTTCCAGACTACAAATTCTCAAAAGGCAGGGACTATGTGTTTTTGTCATTTAGCCCTAGCCCCTGGCATATGGCCTGGCTCACAGTGGGATATCTAGAAGTGTAACAGAAATGAATAAATTCCATTCTATCTCACTGTCATGAAGGCTGCTTTGTAGGGGAAAAAAAAGGCAAATAGAGGCTGAGGTGCTTCCCTTGCTCAGTGTTTGATGAACTAAGGCAGCAGATGCTATGAACATATTTTTGCAGATGGAGTTGAAATCCTAAGGAACCTGCTCACCTTTTTCATTTTTCTCTACCTTCCTCAACATGCACCCCTCACTGTGCAGTTAATCTCTTTCACAATAAAATGTTCCTCAGTGCTAGAGCAAGTGGTCCAGTTTGTGTGCCTGACTACTACACTCATCCCTGATTAATTTCCTGTCCAATAGAGGAATTTTAATTTCATTTACAACCAGGCTTTCCTAATGCCAAGAGCCATATGTGCTTGCCAGCTTTGCATTTTAAGCCCTGTGGCAGGCAGGGGAAGGTAAGACAGCTTACCCATCACCTCTGATGTCCTCCTATCTCCCTAAATCCGCTAAGTTTACAAGGGTATAACCCAGGGCAAAGACAAGAACACTATTCTCAGCCTAAATATCAATACAAAACCAGAAGAACTCAAGAAAGACATCTGATAAACATATTGGTATAAATCACGGCAGGGACCAAACCCATGAACTTGATTGGTATTCTTGTAACTTCCTGGGGGTTTACTGAGCGCTCCAGGGACGAGGTCAGAGGGAATAAATTATTAAATGTTGTATCATAGACTTCTGTGGAGTAGTTGCTTAAAAAAATGCTGATATGAATGACTGTTTTTAGTGACAGCCTAAGACATCAAATAACCTTCACTCAAAGTTATATTCACAGCAAATTAAGTGGGACCAGAGGTAAAGATGACAATAGAGTATAGACCACTTTCATGGGACTAGGAGTTCAGCTCAGAATACAGTGAACTCTTGGCAAACATGAGCCCTGGGTTCAATCCCCAGGATACCTGCCCCTCAAAAAAGCCACAGCTACATGGAAGCTCTCTTAACAGAATATCTAGTCACAGATACTCTCCCTGTGCACTTAGACCTTTTTCATCTGTGATCCATCAAACATTAAAAGAAATAAAAGTCCACAAAGTGACAGTATCTCAAAGTTGGTTTATGTCAATAAATTAAAAAAAAAAGTTTTCTTATTTCCTTGGAACATACCAACAACAGAACATTGTTCTTCTAGCTGCCACAGAGTATCTATCTGAGTTCTTCTTATTTTCCTTCTTTTTTTCTCATCCTCCAACTGTGTATGAATATTGTATACATAGATGTAAATAGTGGATCCTTTCATGGGGGTAACCAGTTCCAGATTTTTTTTTAGTTTTTTAATTTTTTTAAAATTGTTGACAGACATTTATTTTATTTATTTATATGTGGTGCTGAGAATTGAACCCAGTGCCCCACACAGGCCAGGCAAGTGCGCTACCGCTGCGCCCCAGCCCCAGCCCCCCCCATCTTGAAATGATTACAGGATAGTGTCTATTCCCTGACCTGGATTTTGTCTATGTTATGAGACTTTTTAGATTGTTATTGGTTTTCTGTACTCAGTTCTCTGTGGCTAGAGATCTCTGTGAATTGCTTCCCCTCCCAAACTTAATAAGCTCCCATGCTCCCTTAATGCCCCATTTATTCTTCCTTCTTTATTCTCTTTACTGGTCAAGTGGCCACTGCCACCTCCTAGGCCTGCAAGAAACTACAAAATCCAATTAACAATGGAGACATGCAAGTGTTAATATAAAAAAAGAACACATGATGAACTGATAGCCACCAGCACCGTGGGCATCCCTCTGGACTGCTGTGGGATGCCCAAAAGGACATCAGAGAGGTGGGGGTGCTGCAGAGACAACAAATGAAGAATAAGAGTATGCTATCTGGTATTGCACCACCTTTGTCCTTGCCTCTAACTGTAAAGTCTGCCTGGAAGGTACATGTAGGAACAAGAGGGCACAAGAAGTCTGATGATTCAGGCAGTTGGAGAAGCACTTGTAGCTAAAACAAAAGATTCATAATGTGTATTTGGATCTCAAGGGTTCATTTGGGAGTAGTAACAAGAATATATTGAGGAAAATTTTATTTTGGTTAAGGGCAAAGAAGTCTGGCTTATATGCTTCATTTTTCAATAAGTATGCTTTTTCAAAATGGCAAAACGTCTCTATAATACTTCCTCGGCAAAAAAATCATATATTTCTTGATTTCCCAAAATATCTAAGAGATTGTGGTAGGTGCTATGCAGGATATTGAAATGGAGACTCACAGAGAACAAAAAAATGTGGGAAGGGGAGGAGAGCTGATGGTAGACTGGCATTCCTTTCTCAGTGAAAAGATAGTCTTGGAAAACCATTATCAAAATAAACTCCCAGCCATAGATGTAGGAGTGGCTGAGAAGACACTGCTGAAACTTCATGTGTACAAATCAGCCTCCTCGTGCTGACCCTCAACTGCATTCAGCCAATAATATTGAAGCACTGGTCTCAAAGCTTAGTGAAAATCCCTGAAGCACCTCTGAGCTGTGGTGCAGGGAAAAGCCAAGCAACTCCCACAAGGGCAGACTGAGTAGGAGGAAACAAGCCGACACCTGCAGGAGCCCAAGGACTCAACAAAACACCCTTGTTAAACAGCCCATCAGACTGCATGTGAGTTGAGCCTGGGAACAGGGCAGTGTAGTGCAGGAAGAGGCGCAGACGAGGGGGTGGCACCAGGGCATACAAAGCCATTCTGTGCAGTCACGGCCTCTCCTGCCCTGGAGACACCCCACAGGAGCAGCACTGGCCTTTCCACACTCTAGTATCCTTATTCATCCAGCGCCTCCCACCTCCCCGAGTTTCCACGCCCTGGGAGGGTATTTTTCAACCTGGGATGGTGTGTGATCTGACAAGGACACAGGGTAGGCCAAGCTCAAGGCTGTACCTCCGTAGCAGTCACCTGTAGCATGTGCTTCAGCAAAGCCTCATTCAGAAAGGTAATAGGACAACAAAAACTAAACAGGAAAAGGGAGTGTTTATTTTTATGACATTTAAATTTTCAAAAAGTTTACATCTCCTCAAACATCTATCATTTCTTTACGGTAGAAACATTCAGAATCCTTTCTTCTAGTTGGTTTTTTTTTTTTTTTTTTTTTTTTAACCCCCAGTACTGGGAATTGAACCCCTGAATGCTCTACCATTGTGCTACATGCCCTTTTTATTTTTTTGAGATGGTATCTCACTAAATTGTCCAGGCAGGTCTTGAACTTGTGATCTTCCTGCCTCAGCCTCCTGAGTAGTTGGGGTTACAGGTATGCACTACTACACCCAGCACCTTTCTTGTATTTTTTTTTTTTAAATGACTAGTACATGGCTGTTCTCTATTGTCATCCTACTGTGCAATTTCACACCAGAACCTCTTGCTCCTAAGTTACTGAGGATCCACTGATCAGCCTTCTCTTTTCCCCTCCCTCCTCTCCCCAGCCTCTTATATATAACCAACATTTATGGAAAAGGCTGTCCTTGCTCCAAGGTATGCTCTTAGCACCTCTGTCAAAAATCAGTTGGCTGGAGATGCATGGGCTTATTTCTAGGATCCCTATTCTATACCACTGGTCTGTATGACTGTTCTTAGGACAACACCATGCTGTTTTGACTATTATAGCTTTCTGGTATATTTGGAAGCAAGGTAGTATAATATCTCACTTTTTATTCTTTCCATTCAACATTGCTTTGGCTGTTCAAGGAATTTTACAATTCTATATAATTTTTATGATTGTTATTCTAGTTCTGTGAAGAATGAGATTGGTGAATTACACTGAATATGTAGATAGCTTTGGGTACTATGGACATTTTGAAACTATTGATTCTTTAATTCTATGAACAGGGGTGTGTTTCCATTTTTATGTGTCTTTTTCAATTTCTTTCATTAGTGCTTTGCGGTTTTCATTGCAGAGACCTTTTACCTCTTTGGTTAAGTTTGTTCCTAGGAATTTAGTGTTTTGGGTATTATAATTGGGATTGCTTTCTTGATTTCTAGTTCACGTAATTTGCTATCGGTGTTTACAATGCTACTGATTTGTATATGTTGATTTTGTATACTGCAACTTTACTTATTCATTTATTGTTCTAACAGGTTTTCTGTTAGAAATTTTTGGGATTTTTCTGTATATAAGATGTCATCTCTGAATAGTTACAAGTTGACTTCCTCTTTTCTAATTGGCATGTCTTTTTTTTTTTCTTTTTCTTTGTTTTTGAGATGAGGTCTTCCTATGTCTAGGCTGGTATTGATTCCTGGGCACAAGTGATTCTCCCATTTCTACCTGTCAAGTGCTGAGACTACAGGCACAGGCCACCACACCTGGCTTGGAAAGTTCTTTATTTCTTTCTCTTCCCTGATTGGTCTAGCTAGGATTTTTGGTACT